TCCCCAACCAGATTGCCCACCATTCAGCCCGTGTCGCCGGACAAAGGCGCGCCCACGCACGCTTCAACAGCAGCCCGCCCCGTCTCGTCCCCCCAGCCCAAGAAACACCCACATGCCATTGCAATTGCCCGCTCAGGCTCCTCCCCCGCCGATTCCAGTTCCGAGTTGACGTCGTCGTCGTCGCGCGACTCACTGCCACCTGCCCAGGCGCGCGGCGGTGATCGCACACCCCCAAAGCCGGCGCGCGAGCATCGAAAGCCCAAGACAAGCAAGCCGAACGCTAGATGGAATAGAAGAAGGGCGTCCTCAGATGATATAGGCCCACATCCCAAGCAGCCCACCTCCCAGCCCCCGAAATCAGCATCCAGCGCTGCGCCGTCGCCGTCGACTCCGTCCAAGCAGCGCCGCCAGCCGAGCATAACCAGCAGCAACTCGTCGACGAGCCAGACGCGATTCATGGCCACAGCTTTTGGCGGTCCTTCGGGTGACTCGCGACGGGGAGTAGTGTCTCCTCGGCCCAAAGGTCGCGGTACGAGACGCTGTGCACACGTGTTGTAGTCGAGTCTAATGAGCCTCTGCAGAAGCGAAGAACACCTTTTGCCGCAATGTCACCATCTACGGGCACTGTCGGTACGAAAACAGTAAGTGCCGGTGGCTGCGCCTTCTGGACGCTGTGGTGACCCTGTCTAGCCTGCCCCTACATCCACGACCAGAACAAGTTGAGCCAGAGCGAGAACGCCAAGAAGCGTTTCAATGTCGACTCCCCGTCGTTTACGCCGCTGCAAACAGCTACCAATGGCTCAGTGACTCCGTCTTCTCGCAGCGCTGCCATCTCCCCCAAGGCTGCCAACGCGGCCGTCTTTACACCCAAATCGCAACGCTCTGGTAAGTTCTGACGCCGCATCTACGACTACCTCAGTCAAAGCTTATTTGGTCAGCCGTCAGTACTCCACACATGCACACGAAAGAGCCTGCCATAGAATGGCATGCCCAAGACTTTCAAGAGTTTGTGCCACAATCGTTCGAGGGTCAAATGGTGTGTGATAACTTTCTCTTCTACATACTCAGATATCGTGATACACCTATCCTGTTCTTTTAGAGTGTTTGGTCTTGCAATGGCTTTGCAACGAAGCTCACACTCGCCTCAGGGAGACCCGACCGCCGGCTACGACCCGTTCAACACATCGAACAATCTCTCCAACATCACCAGTGCAAACCACCAAACCGGACCCATCAACCCCTACGCGCAGGATGCTTCAGCAGCGACTTATTACCAGAATGCCAACGCGTTTCAGACTCCTGCGTATCACCTGTACTGGCCAGTCGGTCCTCAGCCTACTGGGCTTTTGGCTTACCAGCGCACTGCACACGACTTCTTCATTCCAGATCATGTGCGAGAAGACTTGCAGAAGAGGGCTGAAGTTGCGCGCCAAACGATTCCTAACACTACGTTGCCTGCAATAGAGCAATTCCATTCCCTCTTCTGCTTAGACACGTCGCCACAAAAGAACACAGCGCCTTTCGGGTATGCTAGTTGGATATACAAAGCCGTATCAAGCAAGGACGGTAAGACATATGCATTGCGTCGACTCGAAAACTTTCGACTCACTAGCGAGACGGCTATCCGCTCAGCTCAACCTTGGAAACGAGTGCTCAACGGGAGTGTAGTCACAATACATGAAGCATTTACTACAAGAGCATTTGGAGACAGCTCCCTCATCCTGGTCACCGACTACCATCCAAACTCCAAGTCGCTCGCCGACGAGCATTTCAAGCCAGTCCAACGATTTCATGGAAGGCAGCCCACCTCGTCCCATGTACCAGAGCAAACACTTTGGGGCTACCTCGTACAAATTGCATCAGCTCTGAAGGCTATCCACGGCTCCGGATTGGCTGCAAGATTGATCACGCCTTCGAAGATTTTACTCACCGCCAAGAATCGTATACGATTGAACGCGTGCAGCATCATGGACATTGTTCAGTTTGATAGCGCGCGGCCTCTGGCCGAACACCAAGCTGATGACTTCGTGCAGCTGGGCCGCCTGATCCTTTGCATCGCCAATAACAATGCGTCGGCACACTTGCAGATGCAGAAGTCAATGGATTATGTGACTAGAAGTTACACGGCAAGACTGAAAGAATGCATTCAATGGCTGCTGAACCCCCAGCCAGCACCTGGAACACCATCATCTCCGACCACACCAAGCCCAATGCTCAAAGACATCGACACTTTTCTGGGTGGAATTGCGGATCAGTTTGCGTCCGTCTTTGATAGCGAGCTACATGCCCAGGATACACTTACGAATACACTCGGACGTGAACTGGAGTCTTCGAGACTCGTGCGCCTGCTGGTCAAACTCAACATGATCAACGAGCGTCCTGAGCTGGATGCATCACAGCACGTACCCGGTGCCACTGCTTCGAATGCCTCCTCCGTGTGGGCAGAAACAGGGGAGCGATACTACCTCAAGCTCTTCCGTGACTACGTCTTCCACCAAGTTGATGCCAACGGACATCCAGTCACCGATCTCGCTCACGTACTCGACTGTCTCAACAAGCTTGACGCAGGTACAGACGAAAAGATTGCGCTCATCAGTCGAGACGAGCAGAACGTACTGATAGTGAGCTTCCGCGAAGTGAAGCGGGGCCTGGAATCATCGTTTCAGGATTTGGTCAGAGCAGGACGTGGTTCGGGAAAATAGGATTCTCCCAACTCCAGTCCGCTCGGCTAGCAGCAAGAACAGGCAATTTGGAAAAGATGGCGGAAGTCCATCGCTCCATCGGGGAGGTTCATCTGGGCGTGGACACGGTCATGCAGGGCGCATGTCGAGATGAAGGCAAACTCTCAGAAACCGGATGTCTATCGTATCAACATCAAGCTGGCCGTCACATGGACCTACAACGAAGTGAGCAGAGTGGTCTTGGTCTGCTGTAGTTGCTGTGTTGGCAAAGAGAATGAACTGGAGAAATCAGATGTAGTAGATTCGGAAACCCGCGCATATCGATATGCAATGAAACGCTTTTACATTCCTTCTTCCGTTGTGACAAAGTGTTTCGCAATCTGATTGCCGCCCTCAGGTCCCCGTACTGCGAGTGGAGACCCTGCTAGCGTGTCAGCTTGCTACCCCTCGATTCTCGAGAAGTAAGCCCCACATTCTACACTTTCTCCCTCTCCGTTACGACACCACAACAATCACCTTTCCTCTGCAACAAAACAACCACATCAAACAACATGTCTGGAAAATACGAACTTCTGTGCCTCGAGAACCCGCTTCTGGACATTCAGGGCGTTGGGTAAGTTTGGGTGATGTCAATTGCTGAGGCTTCCTGTTGTTGTTGAGTACCGAGTAAGCAGCGGCTAACAGTCCACAGTGATGAAAAGCTCCTCGAGAAGTACGGCCTGAAGGCCAACGATGCCATTCTCGCGGACCCGGAAAAGCACATGGGTCTCTACGATGATCTGATCCAAAACTACGATGCGAAGCTCATTGCTGGCGGTGCGGCGCAGAACACTGCGAGAGGTGCACAGGTACACGATGTCCACTCGATAATACACATTACACCAGCTGACGCTACTTTGCAGTACATTCTCGAGCCTAACTCGACAGTCTACATTGGTTGCATCGGCAAAGACAAGTACGGCGAGACACTCGAGAAGATCATGAGCGATGCCGGCGTCAAGGCCGAGTACCTCTACGACGAGAAGACACCAACTGGTCGTTGTGGAGTTGTCATCACTGGCCACAACCGCTCGCTGTGCACCGACCTTGCAGCCGCCAACAACTACAAGATTGAGCACCTGAAGCAGGACCACATCTGGAAGCAGGTTGAGAACGCACAGGTGTTTTACGTCGGTGGTTATCACTTCACCGTCTGCGTACCAGCAATCAAGGCACTTGCCGAGGAAGCCGCTGCTAAAAACAAGGTAAGCAGACAGGATGACATACAAAACAAGTGAACTAGTCTAACCCACCAAACCAGCCATTCATCCTCAACCTCTCCGCCCCCTTCATCGCCCAATTCTTCAAAGACCCCGTCGACTCCATTCTCCCCTACGTCGACATCCTCATCGGCAACGAAACCGAAGCTGCCGCCTTCGCCGAATCCCACGGCTACAACACAACCTCCGTCGTCGAAATCGCCAAGAAGATCGCTGCCCTCCCAAAGACAAACTCCAAGCGCCCTCGCACCGTCGTCTTCACCCAAGGCACAGACCCCACCGTTGCCGTTACCGCAAAGGAAGGTGGCGAGCCAGAAGTCAAGGAGGTTCCTGTCCACGCCATTGGCGCCGAGAAGATCAACGACACAAACGGTGCTGGTGATGCGTTTGCCGGTGGCTTCGTTGCAGGTATCGTCAAGGGAGACAGTTTGGAGAAGGCGATTGACATGGGTCAGTGGTTGGCTAAGCTCAGTATCCAGGAACTAGGCCCCTCGTACCCTCAGCCGAAGCAGACATATGCTTCTAGCTAAGCGATAGATGAGTAGATGGGAAATGTGTGAGATGGTGTATTTTCAACAATCTGCGAGAGAGCATAGCTGGTAGGACGGGTTATGCGGAACGGCGATGGAGCCCGGTACAAGGCATACTGGAGCTAAATTATGAAAGCAATGACGTTGGAGCATTTTTCTATGCGGGATGTTGTCCAGCGTATTGTATGAGCAAAGGAGGGAACAGGCCTCTCAACAGCCGAAATTATAGATACCCTCGACATGTAGAGCGAACTTGTAGCATTTAAACAAGCTAGAACAAACAATCGAACAACAAGTTTCCATAAAACATCTAGAATTCGAAACTGATGCGTTTTACATGTGAAATCACCTAGAGAAAGCAAAAGAAAAAGACAAAAAGACAAAAAGACAAAAAGACAAAAAGACAAAAAGACAAAAAGACAAAAAGACAAAAAGAC